TGGCTCAATTTCATTTCCAACCAGGATGGTTTTTATTAACCTGCAAACTCTGGTTAGTCTCACAGGGAATCTCTTTTTAAGCTGACGAGTCGAATGTGCATGAAGTTTGACTTGAAGATGGTTAAAGACTTTTAGATTTAGAGTCATGGGCATAAATATTATCTCACACCCATTCCCACAGTGATAAAGTACTCTGACAAACAGGGACAGTAGATGCAACCAGATGAGGAGGGAAGGGGTAGAAGGAGAAAGAAGGAAGCAGAGAAACAAAGAGAAGGAAGAAAGATGGCCCGTGCAGATGTTTGAGTTTGAGGGTGTAAGGAAACACATACCATGCACTTCAGAAAACTGTATGTACAGCCTTGCTTATTTCTTTCAGACTTAAAATATCTCCAATATCTTCCAAACAGTATCCAAATGGTCCTCAAGCTCTTTGGGATTGTCCTTGCTTCTGCTAATAGCTCAGAGCCTTGGCTGCAGCAAGTGGCTAAAAACCTAGGTAACTCATCCTGTTCTTATTTCCTCGATGAAGTTAATAAAACTTCTGAGCCTAGATTCAGGGAAACATTACTACCATTAAAACTTAAACTAGTGTCTGCAAATAGTGTCCATAGAACATTAGACCCAGGTGATGTTAACCAGTTTTCTGGGGGAATGAAGTTGTTCAATCCATTCCACTTGAAAAGCTGTGTTTCAATAAAAGCCAGATTCATTCACATGACTCTTCATGCAAGGAATATTTATGCCAAGTTTCCCAAACTTTTTGTGCAGAGCACATACAGTGACTAGTGTCCCATGAAATGTTCTTTAGGAAAGAAAAGCCTAGACCAGTTCCTACTCCACCTCCTTCTGTGAACAATCTCTGTTCTCTTTCAGGGGTAACCAGATGGCTATAAAATGAGGAGATACATTTTATCTTACTTGAAGTTAAATGATTTGAGAAGAAGCTAAGGTCTATTTTTTAAATTATTTTAACATTTTAACAACCTCTGAAGTTCTAGGAAGAGTTGAAATAATCTCCACCATAGCAAAAAAATCAGACCCTGGGAAGGTTTCTGTCTGTCTTGCCTGAGGGTTTCAGCCCCAGCAAGTTCACTATGGATTCAGTGAAATCAAGAAACAACAACAGAATGTTCTTGGGGGAAAAGGGTTTATGCCTGGCTTTATTCTCCCTGCGATAGGTCAAGCACTAGGATCACATCTGCATCCAGCAGTCTGCAGGTCCATAATCCACCTCTGCCTCTGTTCCCTCCCAGAGCCCCGAGCAGAGGTCTTTACATAGTGACTCAGTCAAAAATAGCTTATTGCCAATGGGTGGAAGCAGTAGCCTAGCAGTAGGCCTGGTACATCATCAAGTAGTTTAGGGTCAGGTGAGGATCCTGGCTATAGGAACTTTCATTTTCCCCACTACTGACCCAACATTAAAATAAACCTGGGCTTTAGCACCTACTTGCTGCATTGCCTCAAGGAAGATCTAATCATCTCTGAGCCTCTAACTATCCGCTTTAGTGTGAGGACAATGATGCAAACATCCTAACACTGTACGAGGTTTAAATGAAATAGCCCAGGGAATCCAGAGCACCTTTCCTGGGGTTGGCCTCAGAGTGGATACACCAGTCAGTGAGTTCTTTTTCCCCCAGTCTTGAGGCCCAAAGCAAGCATTGTAGGAAAACTGATGAAGTAAATGAACATCACCCCATAGCTCAAAAAAAAAGCCCCTGAGAAACTTTGGTATGCCTTCCTGGCTGGAGCAGACATTCAGGTTTGATTCCACTCACAGATGATGAAGCTCCTAGGCTATTCCTCCTGAGACTCCCTTTGGAAAGGCCTCCTGTCAAGAAACCTAGAGATCAATCTCATCCCAAAGGTCAACATGTCTGTCACCTCCTGTCTAGACTGTTGCAATGCTCATGACCTGGACCTCCCAGAGGGAGCCATCCCCGGACAGCAGATGACCCAGACATGACAACACGCCTTCTGGTTAGGTCAGCCCATGGCGAGCCCAGCACACCCAGGCAGACTCTCAGCCTTGGCTGCAGTTTTACATCCCGTCCAGTTTACAATCTGGGCTCTCAAATTAAATCACTAGGCAGTGATGAGACAGGCTTGCTGCAAGACCTTTTCATTCCATATGGCCTGCTTATAACTTGTTGGATATGGAGGTAGGGGACACGACACAGCTATCTCTTCATTCAAGTCCGCTTCCAGTTCCAATAATTGGCCCCACGTGTGCTTCTAGTTAATGGGCTTTGTGGGCCAGAGCCAAGAGGAGGTGCGTGCAGTGCTGCCTCCCCAAGCCGGAGACTGAGGTTCAGGACATCTCAAAGGATTCAAGAAGTTAACTGAGCACAGAGATGTTTTGAAAAGAGAAGGGTGAGCCAGAGGTAGCTAAAATCATTGCTCCTATTCCAACCCTTTCCCCAGGTCATTGTCTTGAGTGGCTTAGAAATGGAAATGTATTTCTGCCTACAAATCCAGAAGGTGCCATACTTAGATGCTTTTTCCAGTAGGGGTGGGATCATCACCATTCTCAAGCAGCTCCTCTTATGACCATTATATCTAGTTGGTTCACTTAAATAGTCATTGGCAAGAAGCTGTGAGAAAGTACAATTATGTAACATAACCCTGCCCTGCAGGAGATGCTTGGCTTAGATATGCAGCCTCACTCAGGGGGGCAAAGCAGCTCTCTTTGAAAAGAAAACTGGTTCTTTACAGGATTCAACTTCTCTCACCTTGACCAAGAATAAGGCTAATCAATCACTTGGTCTTTTGAAGACTGGAGACTGATCTTCTCACCACTTCTCAATTTGTCAAAAATGTTTACTTTTATTTAGATGTGCATGGTTGCAAGCAACATCAGCAGAAGAAAAGAAAGTATGTGGAGACTAAGAAAGAATCAGGAAGAAGAGATCAAACAGGAGTAGAAGGCCCTCTCTGGAAATGAGGGTGTGAAGAAAGTTTATACTTCTAGACTGGATTACCCAGTCTGCCACTGCCCTCTCCATCAGCATGGCCATGTGAGAGGAGAGAAAGGTAGAAACCAGATCAGACCCTCCAACCATGCACTACACAAGCCCAGGGTGCTCATAGGCTACATAGCTCAGAAGCTGCAGCAATGACTATTTTAAAGAGGCTCAAATTATGCTCCATTTTTATCAAATCAACTCCCCGGAGCTTCCTTAATTCAACGCAGTTTTTTGTAATCCTTTCCTTTACAGTTTTCCTCTTCTTCTTATGAAATACCCTCCCTCAACTCAGGATAAGATGAAGCATTCTACAGAAAAATCTTTGAGATTAAGATTCCACCTAAAGGTGTGCAGTATCTATGAGATAAGACAAATTTACCTTGTAGTCCATGCACAGAACGTTCTCCATTATCAGGATTGTTAGCAGGAACATGCACATTAATGCTTAGACTGTCTTTTGCCCTCTGGTTTCTCCTTGGAGGAAATTCAAGGGGGTTAGGAGGTTTCCACATAGTTCTCTTTCCGAGCAGTCTGTCATTCTTGGTACATCACCCTCACTTTCCGAAAATGGCACACAATCCAGCCAGACTCTTCCAAGAAGGAATTATGTCACTCCTCAGTTCTATGCTGCTGCTCCAGTAACCCAAACAAGCTCTCTTCCCACTGGAGAATGAATGCACCCCCAGTTCTCTCTATAGACCAGGGGCAGCACTGTGGGTCTCTTGGCTGGCTCCTTTACTGGTGCAATCACAAAAACAAACAAAAGTGATATTTTTTTCTAGAAGAACATTTTGTACTGACATCCTCTGATGGCGATCTACATTCTCTAAACTGTTGTCTGCTTAATATTTCTGTTTCTTTCAACGTTCCTTTCCCCTGTTGGCCTCATTGCTTACTGACTGCTGCATAGTTCTGAGGCAGGCACTTGGACCAACGACATTAAAGGGACTGGAAGAAGAGTAACAGACCAATTGAACAATCACCTTAACTGACCAAAAAAGCAGGACAGGCTCCATAGGCAAGTGCAAATTATATGCATCCCATATATAAATCCCACATCTCTGTTCTCTGGTTTCTCGCACTTCAGTAAGCCTTCAGAGCACTAAGGAAGTAAGAATCATTTCTTTCATAAGAAGTCTGATCTGCAAAAAAAAAAGTTTTTTCTTCTTCTCTTTATTTGTATAGGGGAGGAGAGGGGGGAGGAGCCTTTAGCTGAGGTACAAGAATGATGATATCTAAGTTTCCCAAGTTATAGTACTATAAATTGTAGGTGGAGACTTCTAGGAAATTTCTATACTGAAAAAAACGACTTTGTTAAAGAACTCAAGATACAATTCATTGCAGTTTAGTCAGACTGGATTATCAATGTTAACAGAATAACTACATAAAAGTAAACAGGTTGTTACAATTTTGACCAAATTTAGATTGAAGAGTGAAAGATCACCAAGAAGAAATCAATGTGTTTGTGGAAACACAAACTTAAAACAATTCCTGACATTCTTTTTTCAATACAAGTTATTGTATTTTCAAAATTATTAATTCAACAAATATCTATTGAGTACCTGATACATACAAACCCAACACAAAAATTAATGAAACATAATTCCTCTATATGGAAATTTGATATGTAGTTAAGGAGATCAAAATATAAACTTAGATTGTAAAACTTACAGATATATCTTTCCATTTGATATTCAAAATAACCCTGTGAGTTATATAGAAGTGCTCATTTGTATTTAATGTGAGAAAAAATTGAGGCTAAGAGAGACTAGGTGATTTGCACCAAAATCACACACAGGTAATAAAAGGAAGAACCCAGATCAAATCTAAGGTATCTGACACCAAATCTGCTACAACTCACTGCCTCTACAATTCGAAGGAAAATGTCACAAGTGCCAAAAGGGAGGCATGGCATTCCTTCTTGCTGAGCCGATCAGAAAAGATTTCAAGGAGGGCAGAGTTTTGACAGGCAACAAGGGACACAGGAAATTATAAGCTGACAGAAATCATTTAAAGAGAGCAAAAGGTACAGAGGCAGGAACTAGTGTATACTTAAGAAACGGTAAGCAGCCCCGTTTGGCTGGAGTACAAGTTATGTAAAAGAAAGCAGTGGGAGATAAAGGCTGGAAATCTGGGTTGGGATCAGGTCATGGGGTGCCTCAAATGCCTTGCAAAAGAATATGAATGCTATGGCTGGCAATGGAGAATCACTGAAGGTTTTGAACAGAGGAATGATGTAATCAGAATAGAGGTTTAAAAAGATCAGTCTGGCAGTACGATGTGGAACAGTTTGGAGGAAGCCGAGGAGTTATGAGACCGGAGCAATAATAAGGTAAGAAATGACAGAGGTCTGATCTACAATTGTGGGGGTAGAACTGGGAGGAAAATAAGGGATAAATATGAGGAATGTTAAAAAATACAAACTCAAAAGGACTCTTTGACTAAGTAGATGAGAGTTTGCAAATGGAAGGAGGAAGCTGATCTGAGTGACTGTAAAGGCAAAGACAGTTATTGAGATAAACAAGAACATGTTTGTAGAGAAATAAAAGGACTTCAGATTTGACCATGTCTGGTGTTCATCAGAGATGTCTGTCACGAAAATGTGTAGTTATAACAACAAAATGACCTCCCCTCCTTACCACACCCTCACCCCAACACACACAAACACCCAGACACCATAGTGGTTTGACTAAGACCTTAATCAGGCCTTATTCGCAGTCAGGTGTTGTGTGATTACTGAAGCAGCCTTTAAGAAGTACATGGTCCAAAAAGTGGGACTTGCTTATTTCAAGTAAACACAAGTGTGAGGGCAATACTAGCTGCCGTTAACATAAAATTGCTCAAAGCCTAATACCACAGAATTTATTTTTCATTCATCTGGGGCTAGTTGCCACTGGCAGGGGAAGTGGGGACTCCGTGTAATTATTTAAGGACTCAGGATAACAGAATTCTTTCACCTTTAACACATGGCTTCCAAGGTCATGTTAGCATTGACATCCAGCTGACAGTTGGGGAAAAAGAGAGAAAGGAGAGTTTCATGCAAGGCTTAAAATGGTTTCGATCACTTTTGCCCATGTTTCTTAGGCCAGAACTCATTCACATGGCCACAACTGTAAGAGAGGGTTGGAAATATAAAAATAATCCCTAATGGATGAGGAAATAAATTTGTTGAACAGGTAGTCAGCCTGTTCTTAGGCCACAAAGTTCAAAGGTAAGGTGTAAGGGCTAAGAGTGAATTAAAAGGAACCACAGTTCTCTCCATAAAAATATAAATGACTTCCATGTGGGAAAAAACAGTCTAACAAATTACAGGGCAGTTCACAAAAATGAAAATATTCTTCCTTATGAGTTTGAACCTTATCGCATCTGAGAATTAATCTTTCTTCTTAAAACCTGGGTGGTGTGTGCATGAGCATGTGTTTTCCAACAGTTATATGCTACACCCAGAAAAATAAAATGGCGTACTTGCAACTCACACCGCCAAAGGAGTCCCAGGGGAACAGGAGGTGAAGTTTCCACTCACCTTAGGCCCTTCCACAGCCTGGGATGGGCAGAGTCAATACTGGATCACCCTGCTCATGCCTTTCCTGATTATTGCCATTTCCCCTCATATTACAGTTAAGTGTTAGGCCAGATCTGAAAACTTACACTTAGGAAATGTATTATTGGGCAACAGCGCATCCCACAGAGAAGCTGATGGTGTAAGAAGACGGAACGAAATAAAGATGGGACAAAGTTCCCATGGATAGAATACAAGGTTTCCCAAAAAGAGACGAGATTTGCACCTTGGGGGTTTAAAGAAGAATTTCCCAGAAAAATGACAAGGACGTGGAGACAAGGGAGCAGGTTTAGGAATGGGTTTCATGAGGACAGCTCCTAGGAATAGTTGAATTCTTGGGGGACTTTTTTTCTCTTTTTTTCCAGTTATATTGAGAATCACTGACATATAATATTACATTAATTTGGGGTGTATAACAATGATTTGTTGATATATGTATATGCAGCATTGTGAAATGATTACCACAGTAAGTTAACACTTGATCACCTCACATAGCTATAACTTAGTCTTACAATGAAAACCTTTAAGACCTATTGTCTTAGCTACTTCCAAATATACAATACAGTACTGTTAACTCTAGTCACCATGCTGTACATTACATCCCCAGGACTTACATATCTTATAACTGGAGGTCTGCTCCTTTGCTCCCCTCCACCCATTTCACCCACCTCACACCCAGCCCCCCACCTCTGGAAACCACCAATCTGTTCTCTGTCTTTATGAGTTTGTTTTTTTTAGATTTCACATATAGGTGATACCATACAGTATTTGTCCATGTTGTCACAAATGACAGGATTTCCTCTTTTTATGGCTGAATAATATTTGTGTGTATGTGTGTGTGTGTGTGTGTTATACCACATTTTCTTGATCCATTCATCTGTCAACATACACTCAGGTTGTTTTATCCTTAATTATGAAAGAAGTTGTATATAATATGCAATCTTAACGTCTTTCCTATATTATGAAACTCCTGATTTTTTCCCAACCCTCTGTAAAGCTTCAAACTTAATGTGGTGTGTGTAGAGGCAAGCTGAGACAATGCCTAGAGACATGTGGCCCACCCTGTGTGGCCCAGCCTGCGTCTATCTGTCTGCAGTGTCCCGGCCAGGAAGATGCCATCCCCAAGCTGAGGAGTGGCCCACAGCTGGGTGGGTGGCCGTGGACGCGGGACACATGAGGAGCCACCATCAAGCAAGGGCTCAAGCAGCCACAGGACACGCGTGCACCACCTCCCCCTCCCAAGGCGATCCTTAGCCAGGAGAGACATGTTGATACAGGGCCAACTTTTAATGTCGAAGGAATTACAAATTTTAGTAAGAGGCCAAATCTGGAGATAAAGATTTAGAAATCCCCAGCCTCATTCTGATATAATCATGGACATGTTTAAAATAGACAAATGAAAGCATTTAAAGGAGGTACAGAAGGAGAGGAGCACAGTTCCACAAACCAGTGGGCACTCGGTGCTCTGCCCAGATTTCCTCTGATCCCAGTGACAAACAGCTGCACCTTTGATGCTCTTCAGAGGACTGACCCATGGCCACTGGAGCTGCTTCCTCCATGTGCTCAGAAAACTGGAAGCATCTAGATGCTCGTGCCCCCACCCCACCCCACCCTCCAGAGCAGCCCACAGGCAATGACTGCCAGGGGTGGGACTATGAAAACCCAACTCCCTCTTGCCATGTGGGGACAAACTGTGACAGTCTGCTGCACCTTCAGGCTAATATTGAGACTTCACCTGAGCGTGTGCCCATGCTTCACATGTTCCTTCCCCACCCTGCCTCCCCTACTGGCTTGCCAGTCTCTCTTGGGAACACTCCATCGGTAAACCACATGTGGCTGCAGTCTCATTTCCAAGTTTGCTTCTGGTGAGCCTGACCTAAAACACACACATTGAAGGATGCCATGACTACCACCTCCCCAAATTGCAGTAATCAAAATAAGATGTAATGTTTGAGATCAAGAAAGATAAGCGTTATGCAAAGATCACTGGATTTAGCAACTGGGATTACTGTTGGTTCTAATTCCTCCACTTGTCATACAACCTCAACAAGGAAAGAGGAGGTACCAATGCAAATGTCCTAGGCACTTGCACTCACTGTCACCAACCATCAGTCACCCTTCCCAAGCCTCAGAAACCACCTGTGCACAAGCCCCATAGTGCTGTCAAAACCATGAACAAAAATTAGAACTGGCAGAAGTTTTAAAATTTCCTTAAGAGGACACAGGATAAATTTGGTGGCTTCAAGGAGTTTAAATCAGTCACAGATCAACAATATCTCAGATGGCACCAGGGTTGATGTAGTGGGAAGGAGGGTACCTCAATTTCCACTTATTCTATCCACAGCACCCCAAACAGACGCAATCAAAAGAATAGCTGAATGCTCAGAACTGAAAGGGATCTCGGAGAAGGGCCATTTTCTCCCCATAGCTTAATGCAAAGCCATGACAACAACATACCTCTGCTAAAAGCTGAATTATCACACAAGTTCAAGTCCTTTGGCCTCCTGAATAATTATCTTTCCAGTATACCACACAGCCTTTTAAGTTCTTATTCATTTTGGTTACTCTTAAGAGTGTTAATATTACTGAATGCCAGGCACTTAGCTAAGTTTTTTACATTCAGCATCTTATTTAATATTCCCAAGAACCTACAAGATGAATTCCCTTATTCCTATTTTATAGATGAACAAACGAATTTAGAGGACATCAGCTTGATCAATGTAACACAGGCCACTGTGGCAGAGCCCCAGTCAGAAGCCCAAAAACAAAACTGGAATCCATAGCTTATGCTCTTCTTACCATGCAGACAACTCTTCTCATTCGTTGACTGACTAGGTGAAGTCCTATCTCCTCAGATCCTGTCCTAGAACAATTATAGAATGGCACAGGTTGTGACACCGCCCCCCCCCCATACACCATTCCCTTTTATACAGACAGATTGATGGATCAATCCAACCCATATTTGAGCCACTTACTTGAGGTTAGGAATTTTGCTTGTATTTTGCAGCTTCAGGATCAATTACTTTCTTCCTTTTTTGTAGCTTCCATATCAGCTCATTTGTAGGAAGCTTCTACTAGAAAGGGACATCTCACACCATTCTTTCCACATGAACGAAGATATCCCTGAAACACTGGCTAGAGGGGAAAAGCATGGGACATAGAGCTAAGAAATCCAAGTATCAGTCCCAGCACAGAGTAGAGCCAGCTGGGCAAATGTCTGGATTTCTGCGTCATAGCAAATGATGCCTCCTTCAGGAGGGCTGCCTTAGAGAACTTCACAACTAGCAGATACAACTGCTCAAGTTATTATTTCAATAACTTTGAAACTGTCTCTGAGAGATGAACACAGTCCTGTGAAGTCAGCTACTTTCCAGAATAAAGCCTGGTTCCTTATTCAAAATAACACAGTCCTCATTTTTGCTCTTTAATGTGAGACCGTGAACAAGAAAATGCACTGTTCTCCAAGACTTAGTTTCCCACCAAATGACAGGAAAATGGTAATGCCTCGAGGTGTGATGATAAAAGGAGGTAATGCTTATAAATGTGGCCTTGAAACATTAAATTCATTATTCAAATAAGACAAATGGAAAGTCAATCTTGGTCATTTTAAATGGGGCAAAATATCTAGTCTGTTCATCCCTCACTGGAAGAGAGAAATAGTTTAAGAGGTTATGGTGACATTGACCATTCCTTCTTTATTCCCAGAAATACAAATACCACATTCACAAGTTACTCAATACACCAGTCATTACGAGAAAGCAGTTACCATCAAC